CCATTAACAAAAATCAACTCAAAGTGGATCAAAGGTCTAAATGTAAAACCTCAAACTTTAAAACTATTGATGGAAAATACTGGGGAAACTCTGGAAGACGTCACATTAGGCAAAGACTTCTTAATTAAGACCTGCGAAATACAGTCAGTAATCCCCCAAATCTCCTTTTCTACACCCTTCCTCTCTCTGTTTCCTTCCACTTTGTCCCCAGTCTCCATAATAAGTTTCAATGCTTTTATATTTTCCAGTCTTTCAGTCTCTGCCATAATGTGGACAGTCAGTTTATGTTTAGTGGGGACATACAATGTCTCTTTTATTAATAGTGAAGCCTGACTCGCTTCACTATCAATAAATCTTCCTTCCATATTCATCCACTTTCTATCAAATGCCAGGGTTTGTTTTTTAATGGCTGAATAGTATTCCATGTAGTATATGTGCCATACTTTTTTCAATCCATATTCATCTGTTTGTGAAAATTAGGGTTGATTCCATGTCTTAGTGATTGTGAATAATGCCACAGTAAACATAGATGTGCAAATGCATGAGCATTTCCCTGAGTATATACCCAGGAGAGGAATTGCTGGCTCATATTGTGGTTCTATTTGAAGGTCTTTGAGTAACCTCCATATTATTCTTACAGTGGCTAGACCAATTTACACTCCCACCAACAGTGTATGAGAGTTTCCTTTTTACTGCATTCCAGTTTACATTCCCACCAACAGTGCAGGAGTGTTCCTCTTTCACCACATCCCCACCAGCACTTAATCACCTTTTGTTTTTTAAGCTTCACCAGTCTGACTAGGGTTACATGGTATCTCATTGTAGTTTTGATCTGTATTTCCCTTGTGATGAGGGATGTTCAGCATTTTTTTATGTGCTTTTTGGCTGTTTGTATGTCTTCCTTAGAGGGTTGTTTATTCAGCTCATTTTTTTCCATCTTTTAATTGGGTTAATCATCTTTGGGTAAGTTGCTTGAGTTTCCTGTGCATTCAGGTTATCAGTCCCTTATCTGAAGCATTCTTTACAAAAATTTTCTCCCATTCTGAGGGTTGTCAATTCACAATAATTATTGTGTCCTTTGCTGTGCAGAAACTCCTTAATCTGATGTAACCCTACGTGTTTATTTGGGGGATTACTGACTGTGCTTTGGGGGGGTCTTGTTTAAGAAGTCTTTGACTAATGCAACGTTTCCCAGAGTTCCCCCAGTATTTTCCATTAGTAGTTTAATAGTTAGAGGTCTTACATTTAGACTTTTGATCCACTCTGAGTTGATTTTTGTTAATGGTGACATATAGGGGTTTAGATTCATTTTTCTGCAGATGGATATCCAGTTTTCCCAGCAGCATTTGCTAATGATGACTTCCTTTTCCCACTGGATTGACTGGTACCCTTTTTCAAAGATCAGTTTGCTGTATGTTTTGAAATTTATTTTTGGAGTTTCTACTCTGTTCCATTGGTCCTCATGTCTGTTTTTGCGCCAATATCATGCTGCTTATCACAGCTTTGTAATATATTTTTGTCAGGAAGTAAGATGCCACCCACTTCAGTCTTTTTGCATAGGATTTCTTTGGCAATATGGCGTCTTTATGATTCCAGATGAATTCTATGATTATCTTTTCTAGATCTGTGAAAAATGTTTCTTTTATTTAATTTTATAGGGGTCGCGTTAAATATGAAGATTAATTTGAGTAGTATTGCCATTTTGATCATATTCATTCTCCTAGTTTAGGAATATGGGGTGTTCTTCCACTTTATTGTGTCATTTTTGATGTCTTTTTAAAGATTTTACAGTTTTTCTTATAGAGGCCTTTGATTTCCTTGGTTAATTTTATTCTTAGATATCTTATAATTTTTGTGACTATGGTAAGTGGTATTACTTTCTTCAGTTCTGCCTCTTTCTGATTATTGTTTGTATGTAGGCATACTATAGAATTTTGTAATTTAATTTTGTATCTTGCCATTTCACTGTAAGCATTTATTACTTTGAGAAGTGTTTTTTGTGGATACTATTGGGTTTTCAATGTATACAATCATGTCATTTTCAAACAGAGATATTTCAACTCTTCTTTCCTTATTGGAATGCCTTTTATTTCATTCTCTTGTCTGACTGCCTTGGCTATGACTTCCAGTACTATATTGAATAGAAGTGGAGAGAGCGAGAAGTCTTGTCTTGTACCAGTGTACCAGTTTTTGTTTAATGTTAGCTATTAGTTTTTCGAGATGACTTTTATTATGCTGAGAAACAATCCTTCTATGCTAATTTTACTTAATAATTTTTGTATTTCTATTATATCTGTTGCAATACTGCCTTTTTTATTGTGAATTTTATTTATCTAGTTCCTTTCTCTCTTCTTTTTTTTTTGGAGGTTTTCACTATAGGGCGCGTGCGCTCGCCAGACAGACAGAGACATAGAGACAGAAAGCGAGAAATCACCCCCCAGGGGGGATGGTCACGCCGCAATTCCTTCTCCTCCATTCTCCTCTCGGGATCTTGGGCACGCACGCACATGCGTCCAGCGTGAGATTTAAGCCACCGGGTCCGAGACGCTAACCGCGGTCGACTACGTGGGAGTCCAGCGACATAGCCATTACACTAACTGCTGGTTCCCCTTTCTCTCTTCTTAATTAGTCTAGTTAATGGTGTGTCAATCTTTTTATCTTTTCAAGGAACCAGCTTTTGCTTTCATTTATTTTCTGCATAGTTTAATTTTCAATTTCATTTATTTTTGTTCAAATATTTATTATTCATTTTCTCCTGGCAATTTTTGGATTTTTTTTTTTCTAATTTCCTGAGGCATGATGTTATGTTGTACTTTTCCCACCTTTCCATCTTTTCTTTATGTGCACTATTTACTTAACTTCCCTATTATGACTGCTTTCACAGTGTCCCATAGATTATGGAAGCTTGTTTACTTATTATCATTTGTTTCCATGGATGTTTTGATTTCAGTCTCAATCTCTTCAGTAGTCGTGAAGTTATTCAGAAGTAGGTTACTTTGTTTACATGCATTTGTATATTTTCAAGGGTTTTTCCTGAGATTAATATCAAGTTTAATTTCATCATGGTCAGAGTTCATCATGGGTATAGTTTCTATGCCTTTGAATCTGTAAAAGCTGGTTTTGTGCCATAGTATAATGGTCAGTCTTTGAGAAGGTACCATGCAGAGCTGAGAAAAAATTATATTTTGTGCTTTTTGGGGTCTAAAGTTCTATAGATCTCTCTCTAGTCCATCTGATGTATGTTTTATCTCCGGTCTAAAGAAGATAATGGGGTGTTGAGATCTCCAATAATTAGTGTGTTACAGTCTTTCTCTCCTTTTAAATGTAGTATTCTTTCCTTTACATATTTGAGTGCTCCTCAATTGAGCGCATAGATATTTATAAGCACTATATCTTCTTGATGAATTAGCCCCTTTCTTCTATATTATGCCCTCTTTTTCTGTTCTTACAGTTTTTGTCTTAAAGCCTATTTTTGGTTTCCATTTGTATGGAATACCTTTATTCAGCCCTTCACTTTTAATCTATGTATGTCTTTATAGATGAGATGGGTTTCTTGTTGGGAGCAGATGAAGAGTTTCTGGCCTGGGAACCAGCAGTTAGCGTAATGGCTATGTCGCTGGAGTCCCACGTAGTCGACCACAGTTTGCGTCCTGGACCCGGTGGCTTAAAACTCATGCTGGGTGTGTGTGCGTGCATGCCCAAGATCCTGAGAGGAGAATGGAGGAGAAGGGATTGCAGCATGACCATCCCCCCTGGGGGGTGATTTCTCGCTTTCTGTCTCTATGTCTTTCTCTGTCTGCCTGGCTAGCGCACGCGCCCTATAGCGAAAACCTCTCAAAAAAAAAAAAAAAGTTTCTGGTGTGTATATGTGTGTGTGTGTGTGTGTGTTTTAATTAATTCAGCCAGTCTCTGTCTCCTGATAAGAGAATTTAATCCATTAACATTCAACGTTATTATCAATATTTCCAGACTTGTCTCCACCATTAGATTGGCCATGTTCTTCGTTGTTTTTTGTTCTCTTATTGCTGGCTGCCTGTCTTTAGTTTTTTTGGTATAGTACTTTTTTCAGAATTTTTTGAAGAGCTAGTTTAGAGTTGGTAAATTTTTGTTGTTGTTGTTGTTGTTTTTGAGAGGTTTTCGCTATAGGGCTGCAGAGAGAGACAGAGAAACAGAAAGCAAGAAATCACCCCCCAGGGGGGATGGTCATGCTGCAATCCCTTCTCCTCCATTCTCCTCTCAGGATCTTGGGCATGCACGCACACACACCCAGCATGAGTTTTGAGCCACTGGGTCCAGGATGCAAACTGTGGTCAACTACGTGGGACTCCACTGCTGGTTCCCCTAAATTGGTTTTGTTTATCCAAGAATATTTTTATCTTTTTTTCCCCATTTGAAGGATAATCTTGCTGGATCTACTATTCTTCATTGAAATTATTTTTTTATGTAACACTTTGAATATATTCCCCCATTCTTTGTTTTATAAATTGTATCCCATGAGATATCCAGTGTCAGCCTGATGGGATAACCTTCATAAATTACTCGACATTTCTGTTTCCAGTGTTAGTATCTTATTTTGTCTGTGATTTAGCCAATCTGGCTATGATCTTACTGTAGATAGGATCATCTTGGATTGATTCTATTTGGGTTTCTTTGTATTGCTTTCATCTGAACATTTGAGTACTTTTCTAGACTTGGAAAGTTTTCCTCCAGGATTTTGCTGAATAGATTATTAATGCCCTTATTTTCTTCACCTTCTGGGATATAACTTACTTTCATGTTTGGGTGTTTAATGATATCTAGTATTTCTCATATATTATCTTCATTTTTCTTGGTTATTTTCTCAGTATTTTTGATAATTTTTTTCTAGGTCAGAGGTTTTGTGTTCTACCTCTGAGATTCAGTCTTCTGCATGATCTAATCTGCTTTTAATACTTTTGAGTGAGGTTTCGATATCCTGTATTACAGCTGTCCTATCTAACAGTTCTGTATGTTTTTTTTTTTTTAATACGGAACACTTCATGAATTTGCATGTCATCCTTGTGTAGGGGCCATGCTAATCTTCTCTGTATTGTTCCAATTTTCATGTATGTGGTGATGAAGTAAGCACCCACAAAACTTTTTAAAAAGAACTAACCCTTCCCTCAAACCATTTCTAAATATTGAAAAGGAAGAAGCCCTCCAAAGTTCATTTTTTGAAGCCTCCATCACCTGGACCCCCAAAACAGGCAGAGACATAACAGAGAACATAAAAAAAGAAAGTGCATATCAACATCTCTGATGAGTACAGATGCAAAAGTTCTCAATCATATACCAGCAAATTGTATCCGACAGTACTTTAAAAAGATTATATGCCATGTCCAAGTAAGCTTTATTCCAGCAAGGCAAGGGTTATTCAACATATACAAAACAATAAACATAATACATCAAATTAACAGAAGGAAAGATAAAAAACCCATGTGATGGGAACCAGCAGTTAGCGTAATGGCTATGTCGCTGAACTCCCACGTAGTCGACCGCGGTTCGCGTCTCGGACCCGGTGGCTTAAATCTCACGCCGGGCGCATGTGCGTGCGTGCCCAAGATCCTGAGAGGAGAATGGAGGAGAAGGGATTGTGGCGTGACCATCCCCCCTGGGGGGTGATTTCTCGCTTTCTGTCTCTATGTCTCTCTCTGTCTGTCTGGCGAGCGCACGCGCCCTACAGTGAAAAATCTCTCCAAAAAAAAGAGAAAAACCCATGTGATCATGTCAATCAATGCAGAAAAAGCATTTTATAAAAGACAACATTCTTTTATTAATAAGACTCTCAGCAAAATTGGCACATAAGAGACAGTCCTCAACACAATTAAAGCCACATATGACAAGTATATAGCTAACATTATTTTGAATGGGAAAAAGCTAAAAAATTTTTCACCAAACACTGACACAAGGTGCCAGCAAGTGGTGTGGTGGTTAAAAGCGCTGGACTCCCATATGGTTCAAATCTTGGATCTTGATGCTTGTTTACACTTTGTCTCTCTCTCACTCTCTGTATCTCTTTCTGGAAATGTTAATAACAATAAATAAAGTTAAATAAAATAATTCTTTAAAAAGTAAAAACATGACAAGAGTGCCCACTTTCTTCATTCTTTTTCAAAATAGTACTGGAAGTTCTAGCCAATGCAGTCAGAAAAGGGAGTAAAATAAAAGGCATAAAAATAGGTTTTAAAGAAGAAGTGAAATTATCTCTGTTTACACATATGGGCATGATTATATACATAGAAATCCTGAAAGAATCCACAACAAAACTCTTGGAAATGATAAATGAATACAGTAAAGTGGCAAAGAATAAAATGAACATATAGAAATCTATAGCATTTCTATATACTGACAATGAACAGATTGAGACAGAATTGAAGAAAGCAATATTTCCAATAGGCACAAAATATAAGATAACTAGGAATAAAACTAACAAATAAGTAAAAGACCTCTACAAGGAAAACTGAAAAAATCAAATAAAAAATGATACAAAACAGTGGAAAGATATCCCATATACCTGGATTAGAAGAATAAATATAATAAAAATTTAAATTGTAATCAAATTAATCTACAACTCAGTACAATTCTGATTAAATTACCAGAGATCTTCACAGAATTTAAAAAGGCAATCATAAAATTTGTTTGGAATCATAAAAGACCCCATATCACCAAAGCAATACTGTGTAAAAAGACTAAAGTGAAAAAAAAAAAAAAAAAAGGGAGTATGATACAAGAAAATAGAAAGACAACCCATGTTCTTGGATTGGAGGAACTATTATAGTCAGCATGTCAATTCTGCCCAGATTAATTTACAAATTCAATTCAGTTCTTATCGAATTACTGGTGACTTTCTTCACTAAAAAGATAAACAATGAAAATTTATTTGGAAACATAAAAGGCCCCATAGGACCATGGGAATAAATACTGTGCAAAAAGAGTAAAGTAGGAGGCATATCACTCCTTGACCCCAAAATATATGACAAAACTGTGATAATCAAAATAGCATGATACTGGCACAAAAACATGTAGAACAATGGAACAAAATAGAGAACCCAAACATATACCCCAAGACATACAGCCCCGTGATTTTTGACAAGGGCACAAATTAATCCAGTAGTTGGGACCAGCAGTTAGTGTAATGGCTAGGTCGCTGGAGTCCCACGTAGTCGACTGCGGTTTGCGTCCCAGACTGGGCGACTTAAAACTCATTGCTGGGCGCGTGTGCGTGCGTGCCCAAGATCCCCAGAGGAGAATGGAGAAGGGATTACGGTGTGGCCATCCCCCCTGGGGGGTGATTTCTCACTTTCTGTCTCTCTGTCTCTCTCTGTCTGGCGAGCACACGTGCCCTATAGCGAAAACCTCTCAAAAAAATTAATCCTGTAGTGAAAATAATTTTTTCAGCAAGTGGTACTGAAAAAACTAGGTATTCACCTCAGAAAAGTGAAACTCAACCAGTTTCTCTCAACATTATAAAAAAAAATCAATGTGAAATAGATCGAAGATCTAAACATAAAACCTCAAACTATAAAACTATCAGTGTAAAATGCAGGAGAAACTCTTGGAGACATGGGAGTAGGCAAAGACTTCTTAAAGAAGATCCCTCCAAAACTGGTGGAGACATCAGGGTAGGCAAAGACTTCTTAAATAAGACCCCCAAAGCATAGTGATTTTAATCCTCAAAATAACCAAGTAGGATTACATCAAATTACAAAGTTTCTGCACAGCAAAGGATATAGTAATTAGTGTGAATAGGAACCATTGGAACGGGAGAATATTTTTGTAAACTATGCCCCAGATAAGGGACTAATAACCAGAATACACAGAGCTCAAGTGACTTATCCAGAAAATGATTAAACCAATTAAAAGATGAGAAAAGTATCTGAATAAACAACTCTCTAAAGAACACATATTAATAGGCAATAAGATATGCTGAACATATCTTATTATAAGGGAGATCAGATCAAAACCACAGTGAGATACCACCTAATCCTGTCGGACTGGTGAAGATTTAACAAGCAAAAAATGATAAGTGCTGGTGGGGACAGTGTGAAAGGAGAACTCTCCTACATTGTTGGTGGGAATGTAAATTGGTCTAGCCACTGTGAGAACAATATAGAGGTTCCTCAAAGACCTTAAATAGATGATCCAGCAATTCCACTCCTGGGTATCTACTCAAAGGACAGGAAAAGGCTCAGTCAGAACAGCATTTGCACATCTGTGTTTATTGTGGCATTATTCATGATTGCTAAGGCATGGAACCAACCCTAATGTCCATGAACAAATGAATGAATTGAAAAAGTATAGTACATATGCTACGTAGAATACTATTCAGCCATTAAAAACAAGACATGGCATTTAATAGAAAGTGGATGAATATGGAAGATATTCAAATCCACAGAAGATATTCAAAGTCACAATGATGTATCACCTAATCCCAGTCAAAATGGTTAATTTTGAAAAAACAAAGAATGGTTGCTGTCAGAAGATGGTGTAATCATAATGTCACTGGATTCCCATGTAGTTGACCACAGTTCAAGTCCAGGACCCAGTGACTTAAAACTCATGCTGGGCATATGTGCATTTGTACCCCAAATCCTGAGAGGAAAATGGAAGAGAAGAGATCGTGGTGTGGCTGTCCCCCCCAGGTGTGATTTCTCATTTTCTGTCTCTTTGTTCCTTCTGTGAGTACACATGTCCTATTGCAAAAATTTCCCTCAAAAAAAGAAAGAACGGTAAACCCTGGTGAGGCTGCTGTCAAAAAAAAAAAAAAAAAAAGGAATTTTCCTCTTCTGTTGGTGGGGATGTAAGTTAGTATTGCCACTGGGGAGCACAATGTCGAGGTCCCTGAGAACCTACACATAGGCCATATGCACTGTATTCATGCTGCGAAAATCCATGTGCATTGTAAAAATGTATGGTGATTACATATAAGTTAGAAATAAACATAAAAATAAAATATCCTGGGATCAGTAGATGGTGTAATGGTTACATCACGGGACTACTATGTAATTGACCATGGTTTGAGTCCTGGACCTGATGGCTTCAAACTCACACCAGGTGCATACATGGGCATGCCCAAAATCCCGAGAGGAGGCTGGAGGAGAAGGGATTGTGGCATGGCCTTCCCCCCAGGGGGTTATTTCTTGCTTTCTATCTCTCTGTCTCTACCTCTCCAGCAAGCTTACATGCTCTATAGCAAAAATCCCTCAAAAAATAAAAATAAAAATAAAAATCGTACAAATAGAACTACTGTATGATATAGAAGTTCCACTCCCACGTCTTTTCTAGGACATGGGATCAACTCACATGCCCAAGAACAAATAAACAGACTGAAAAAGTATGGCACATATACACTACAGAATACTACTCAGCCATAAAAAAAACAATGAGACCCTGGCATGTGATCAAAAGTGGACAAACATGGAAGATTTAATGCTTAATGCAGCAAGCCAGAATATGAAAGAGAGGTGTTGTATGTCTCTACTTAATACATACTGAATGTCTGCACTCTACTGCAGAAACTGAAAGATTAGAAGGTATAAAACCATGGAGTGCAACTGTAGATATTGGAGACAGTACAGGAGTAGGTTGGGTAGTGGGGAGCAGGAAGGAGGAAATCAATGGGAAAAAAAGCAAAACAGTTAATGGACACAACAATGGAAATTTATCTGTTCATGATAATGTGTATGGTAATGTCTTTGGATTGACATGCAGTGTCTTTATGCTGGGAACCCAGAGGAGAATGGAGAAGGGATTACGGTGTGGCCATCCCCCCTGGGGGGTGATTTCTCACTTTCTGTCTCTCTGTCTCTCTCTGTCTGGCGAGCACACGTGCCCTATAGCGAAAACCTCTCAAAAAAATTAATCCTGTAGTGAAAATAATTTTTTCAGCAAGTGGTACTGAAAAAACTAGGTATTCACCTCAGAAAAGTGAAACTCAACCAGTTTCTCTCAACATTATAAAAAAAAATCAATGTGAAATAGATCGAAGATCTAAACATAAAACCTCAAACTATAAAACTATCAGTGTAAAATGCAGGAGAAACTCTTGGAGACATGGGAGTAGGCAAAGACTTCTTAAAGAAGATCCCT